CTGTCAGCTACCGAGTCGCTTGACGCAGTATGCTCGTTTTCTGTGACCTATACGTGTCTTAACATGTGTCTCCAGGATCTCAGTTTCCTCCAGGTTTTCTGTCTCGCGATTATATTGCTTCTATTTTTGTGTGTAAAAAGATGAGTGATTCCCTGAATCGTCTAGGAAGGAAAATATGCATTAGTATCATGGTGGCACATCAGCGCTGGGAGAACGAACAATTAAGCTGTCTACCCACTGCATGGCGAACTCCTTCGGCTGCTCGCTCTGCTGCGGGCTCCGATGATCATGCAAGTCTATTTAAACCAAGTTGCCTGGGTTAAAACTAACATCCCAGCTTCGTAGTAGCTTTTTGCACGGCGTTCTCGCGCCTTTGCAAAATATTTATGGGGTACTACAGGCCATCTATGGAAGTCTGCAGCATCTGCGGCACTGCCAACTACCAGGTTCAACGGCCGGTCAGACAACAGTGGTTCGGTGTCCAGGAGAGAGCCCAGTCGCTCAATCGCGCAGAAAAGGGGTTTGAAGAGTGTACATTTGCATGGCAAGCTAATTCGGCCCGAGCAAATACTTCATGCCATTTCGAAAAATGTTGCTCACTGCGCAGAGTCGAAAGTACAACGTGCGGTTGGTGGGTTCAGTTTGACCGTCTTCCTCCGGGTAATTCGCGGTGGTTATACTATGATAGATATTAAGCCGCTTCATGGTTTTTTATGGGAGTGTCTTTACGCAGTTTCGGTGCACGTCAGTAACAATGCTCTTCGGGAAAGCATGGAGCTCGGAGAGATAGCTAAGGAACAGCAGGGCCGTTTCCTTTGCATTTACTTTACCAGAAGAGGCAATGACATGGGCATATTTGCTGAGTCTATCAACAACAGCGCAAACCCTACAGGTTGTGGCTGATGCTAAGCCTAATATGATATCAATTGAGATGTCCGTTCAGCTCCGTTGAGGAAGCGGACGGCACTGCAGGAGTCTGGGGTAGAGAGTGTTCTGCGGCTTTTGTATCTGACGTTCTGGAGAAGTAAGGAGATATTTCTCCACT